CCCCAAAACCCCAAAACCCCAAAACCCCAAAACCCCGCTAAACTATTTTAGGTTGGATGAATTATCACAATAAGAATTTCACTTATTGGCCACAAATTGGATTTTTTGTGGTTTCTTCATTACAGAGTACTTCTTTTTGAAGTCTAAAAAACATCAGATTCGAATCCTAGCCCCCAGAACCCCTTAAACCTACCTCTGGCTTCTAATTATTGCTCGTAACTTTCCTCTGTGAAAGGATGGCTTCCTGAGGAACCTTAGATTCTGGGATTGAACTACTGGAGTTTTTGTTAAGGATTTCTATATTTTAAGTCAAAAATTTGTACCTGCATCGTGAATATTCTCTTTGTCCTCAATGGGCATTGGCTTGGAATAGGACGAAGTGGGCTTTGAAGGAGGATAGAACACTCTTTGAGTGGGCTTCAACTTTATTTGGGAGGTTTTGGATTCTTCGTAAGGGACTGAGTGGGAAGAAGCGGGCACAGGGGTTCCTATAAGATGTGGTGAAAATGTAAATTTTTGCTTACTCCAAGATTTGTTTGAGGGGACAAATGGTTTCTGGCACGATTTTAGAGCTGGTTTAGGCCAATTCTGGTAGGATTGAGGCTTTTTAGATTTTTGGAAACTCTGGTAGTCTTTTCCCTTTTGGGGTTTCTTTTGATCATTTGGAGCAAAATCGCGGTTCTTTTGGTACGGTTTTTGATATTTTTGATACTTCTGTGGGGCCTTCTTGTTTTGAGAAAATCTACCACGCTTTAGCTTGGATTTGAGCTTCTCAACTGCCTGTTTTCTAGTCTCTGAATTGCGAGACAAGTAACCCTCGAAAAGGGGATCTGTAACTTCTCTGTTCGGAGAAATATTATTACAGATGGCATCTTCTAATACTTGAATCCCTTGATCATACTTTTTGAATTGGATACATCCTTTCAAGAGGGTTTGATAGAGAATGTAGTCTGGCTTGATCCTATGCATTTTCATTTCATCAAATTTCTCTAATGCTGTGTTGATCTGCTTGGCTTTAATACATGTCTGAATAATGCATGTATACACAATCATTCCTGGTTTTATTCTAAGTTCTTTCATCTCTTCAAGGATGTTTAGGGCCTTGGAGAGCTGTCTAGATCTTCCATAGATCTTTACTAGGATGCTAAAAGTCACATTTGAAGGAGTTATTTTCTGAGATTTCATGGTTTCGTAAACAGTGAGAGCTAGATCAATTTCATTTGCCTTGAAGCACCCATCTAACAGACTGTTAAATAGAACCTCATCTGGCTTGATTTTCTCCTTTTCCATAATTTTCAAGATCTGGAAAGCTTTCTGGATAGAATGATCTTTGCAGTACCCCTTGATCATGGTAGAGAAAGTGATGAGGTCAGGTCTGACTTTCCATTCTTTCATCTCGTTGAATAGGAAGGATGCTTTCTTCATATCGTTACATCTAACACAGCAGTCGATGAGCGAGTTGTAAGTAATGCTGTTAGGCATATTATTTTCATCAGACTTCATTGTTTCGTAAATTTTAAGAGCCTCTGGTAATTTATGAGCTTTCACATATCCCTTAATCATTGTAGTGTAGATGATCGTGTTCATATGAGCTCCATCACTCTGCATCGAACTGAAAACCTCTTCAGCTTTAGTGAGATTGTTGTTCCTGATGCAAGCATCAAGAAGGCATCCGTAGGTAACATCATTAGGGTAAAGGCCAAGCTCCCTCATCTTTATAAAAGCATTGAAGGCATTATCAAGTTGGTTCTCTTGTCCATAGGCCTTGATTAGGATTCCATAAGTCACACTTGAAGGGGTGATATTAGCCATTTGCATTTCATTAAAAAGTGCAAATGCTCTATTATCCTTATGTTTGAAGCAAGCATCAATTAAGCAGTTGTAAACTATTTCATCTGGCTTCTCGTTCCTTTCTTTAATTTGATTTAATAAATTGAAAGCTCTCTCTAGGAAGAAAGGGTCTTTAAACTGATCTCCTTTGATTAGGGTGCTGTATGTGAAATTATCTGGAGAAACGTCGCTTTCCTTCATCTGGTCGAAAAGATCCCAAGCATCATCCATCTTGCCACATCTAACGCAAGCATCTATCATAGAGTTAAAAGTAACTTCATTTGGTTTGAGACCACTCTCAGTCATTGAAGAGAAAATTTTAAAGGCAATGTCAAGTTTTCTTGCCTTAGCACATCCCTTGATAATGGTGTTGTATGAAATTTCATCTGGTCTGGCTCCTTCACCATTTTGGTTCATTTTTTCCAACAATTTCAGGGCCTTATCCATATCTCCACAGTTTATACAAGCGTTAAGGAGTACATTATACAGATAGTGGTGGTTCTCTTGGTTCTTTGCCTTTGAATACTTGTAGTCAGGCTTCTTAGAATGATCTTTGGTGGCCTCTTTAATCTCTTCTAATGGGTCCCAGTTAAACACAATTTCGAAAGCTCTCTTGAGATGATTCTTTTGTTTATAATGCTTGATTCCTTTGATTAAGAAACAGTAGCTATATCTATCTGGCTTCACACCTTGCCCTTCCATGATTTCTATAACTTCCCAGGCACGGTTCATATTTCTGCATGAAACTCAAGCCTTAATGACAGAGTTGTAGGCCAGCTTAGAGACTGTGATGCTCTTCTCTTTCATCATTTGGAGAATTTTAAAAGCCATATCAATGTTCGAATTGTTTGCGCATCCTTCTAAGAAATACTCAAAGAATAGTGTATCATACTCAACAGCGTATTTCTCAATAGAATCGCATAAAGCCATCGCCTTCTCCATTGAGTTTATGTTGCAGTATCCTTTGATGAGGATAGAGACAGAGCTGATGTCAATAACTCCTGGTGCTTGGGCATGGTGGTCGAAGATAAATTCTGCTACTGCAATATTTCCAATTTTAACAGATCCTTCTAAAAGCGCATTTAGCGCGGAAGTCGTTAAATATTTCTTCTCAGTTTCTTCATCAGAATCATTTGTTTTGAATTCACTTGAATAAACCCCGAGAGCTTCGTTAACTTTGTTGAGTTTGCAGTATCCAGTAATGAGTGTGCAAAGAATAGCATGGTTGCTCCTTATCTGGGAGTCAACATTCTCAGTGTACTCAGTTAACAGACCTTCAGCGAGGTGGTCCTTTTTGCACTTCATACAACACTCAATGATGTTGTTGAACAGGTACAAACTGAAGTCCATATCACTTCTCTGCTCTACATTTCTCAACAAGGAAGTAGCCATGTCAATGTTCCTGGTCATATTAAAGGCGTATGAACAAGTCTCGAAAAATTCTGATTTTAACTTGGTCTCTTCTTCATTGTCTGGATTTTCTTGAGTTAAGAAATCTTTATCTAATCCAATATTGATTAATTTCTTAACGTCATTATTCTTTTTCATCTTAAGAGTTGCTCTGATCAGACCCGACAGCAATGTGAGGTCCTCTGTAGGTCTTAATGCATTTTCAAAATAGAAAACATGGAGTAAATTGATAAAAACTCTCTGATCCTGTTCACAAGAGTCGCCTAAACCGCTAACAGTATCTTCCAGGTACTTCATTACAGAGTTGTCAGCCTGACAACCTTCTTGGGAGGTCAGGACCCTTTTAAATAGCGCAACTTTCAGCACTCTCATTGCTACTTTAATCCTGCTGCCAGAGGACAGGGTTGTGTCAAACTTCTTTTCTGCTGCTTCAATTAATGAATTCATTTTTCTTATTTCAAATTCAAATATTTAAATCTTCAATTTCTTTTATAATGGTCGGGGTTTTGGGGTTTTGGGGTTTTGGGGTTTTGGGG